CATTACACAGCCATTAAAAAAGAGCACCACATGGGCCTCTGTAAGGGCAGGATGACGCAGGGCAGGTTTTCTATGATCCGAGCAGACAGGGTAAGGAGAAGAGAGTCCTGGAGCCCTCGGTGGCTTTTGCAGGCTTTTATTGGGATTTACCAGGTACACGGCAGGCAGGGGTGTGGGGGGGTGGGCGGGAGGCTGGCAGACCTCCCAGCCCCCAGCAAGTCTTCACTCTATCTGGGCTCTCCAGCATTCTCTGGGGGTCTCTGCTCTCTGCTCTACTGGTGTACCCCTGACGCCGCCCTTATAAAAACCAGTCTCTCAGCACAGGTGTATCCACTTCCGCATGCCCACACCCCACTCCAGGGGCCGCCATCAGGCATGCATTCAGGACCACAGGGTTCCATCATCAATCCTAATGGCATGAGGGAGGAGGGGGGCGGGGGGGCGGAGGGCAGAAAAGCCTGATACTTTTTCACTTACTCTGCAGCCTCTCTGGTGGCCTAGAGGTTGAGTCTCAGTGCTATCACCCCTGCAGCCTGAGTTCGATCCCCAGCCAGGGAGCTGACCCACATGGCGCAGCAGACCTCTCCTGTCTCGCCTCAGCAGTGTGTTTCAGTGGCTCTGCCTGATCCGCTCCCTACTCTGAATCTGGTGAATCCTCTCTCCGCCCCTTCCTCCCCACACCTCTGGCCTACACCCCAGTTCTTCTACACAAAATTAAAATAAATACCATGCTGCCGTGGAAAGGAGCCCCATATATCACGGAGTGAAAAGTGCAGGTATGGACAGGGTGAAGCATCTGCCTATTTGAATTTTCAACAAATCTTGGTGGCCCAAGGACATGGCAGGAATGATGGAGGGGTGCAATGAGGAGAGCCTTCCGCTTCCTTCTTCATAGTTTTCTTTTTTTTTTATAGAGGCATGTTTTATTTATTTATTTGTTTGTTTGTTTGTTTACAAGCACTGGGTACAGTCAGAAGCGCGGGAGGGCGAGAGAATTCACCAGAGCCAGAGCGGGGAGCAGAGCAGGCAGAAGGACCGAAGTACACTGCTGAGGGGAGCAGCGGGCGGCAGGAGAGGTCTGCGCGCCATGTGGGACCCTCCTCCACTGGCCGGGGAGCAGCCGGGGATCGAACTGGCGCCGCAGAGGCCGCAGGCAGATTTGCAACCCAGCGCTCAACCGCTGCGCCACCAGGGAGGCCCTTCTTCATATTTTTCTGCCCTACCTGTCTTCTGTTTTTAAAAGTAAGTGTCAGGGCCTCCCCGGTGGCGCAGTGGTTGAGCACTGGGTTGCGAGGCTGCCCGCAGCCTCTGCAGTGCCCATTCGATCCCCAGCCGCCGGGCGAGGGTCCCACATGGCGCGCAGACCTCTCCGGCCACCCGCTGCTCCCCTCAGCAGTGTACTTCATCACTCTGCCTGTTCTGCTCCCCGCTCTGGCTCTGGTGAATCCTCTCACCCTCCCGTGCTTCCGACTGTACCCAGTGCATGTATAAATAAATAAATCTTTTAAAATAAATAAAGTAAGTCATAATTTGTGAGATTGTACATATTTGCTTTCTCATCTCCTAGCCATATTTATATATTTATACACCAGCATATACTGTTTTTTTCTGAACCACTGGATGGTAAATTGAAGACCCCAAGACTTGGAATCTTCGATTTTGGTAGCCAGCAGCGGCAGGAAACGGCCTCGTGGCCTCAGCTTTTGTTGTTGCTGCTGTTTTAAAGCCCAAAGTAAAGGGGTCCATGTGGAACCCAGGCCTAGATCTAGGGTGCCTCAGTGAGCTCAGGAAGCAGAGTCCTAAGCCCCTTCCTCCCAAGTCTCTTAAGTGAGAGCCCTTTAACATACAGAGTGGGGCACCCACTTCTCCTTACTTGGGGCTCTAAACAGGGCACTGGGGGAAGGGCAGTGCCCTGTTTAGAGCCTTCAGCTCAGCTCTCCCCCTCTCCCCCTCCGGCTCCCACGTGAAGATGCAGCCTCAGACCAGACACTTGTCCAGCAGCGAGGGCTTGCTCTGGGGGCAGCCTTCTTCAGCTGTCTGGTGGCACCTTGGAAACTATTTATTCACCAGACACCCTGGACTCCAGAAGGCATCACTTTGGTCACCTAGAACATAGAACAGTCCCTGCGGAGGGGATATAGGCTGCCTAGATGATTTTATCATCAGAAAAGGTGTCACTGCTTTAAAGTCTTGCAACCTGCAAGGACTGAGCTTCTCCAACTGATCCAACTAACCATCAAGCTAGCTGCCCCACCCCCAGCTACAGTAAATTGGTCCACCTCTCCCTTATAAAGGGTTTCCTAAACTAGTTAAAGATGCACTTTATCTGAGGCTCTTTCTAAAATCCCCAAGCCCACCCATATCTACCAGTCTGAATCTCCAAGGCAGGGGCCTGAAACTATTTTGTTGGGAAACCCATCACTTAATAACACAGTGTTTAGTCTTCAAACATGGACAGCTAGCCTGCTTGGGCGAGGCAGGGCGCCGGAGGTCTCAGGAGTGGATGAGAAAAGAGTAGTGCCAGTGGCCGCTCACACTGACTAACACCTACTTTGTGCCACATCCTGATGCTTTAAGCGGATTATTTCACTAGGTCCCAGAAATTCTACAAGGACATTTACTAAGCCCAGTTTACAGATGAGGACACCAAGGCACAAAGATGTAAGAGTAACTCAGAGGAGGAGGCAGCCGGGGGAGGACACTAGGTGCAGTGAAGGGTAGATTCGGACTTTGAGCCGTGACCTTAATGCCCTCTCTACACAAGCCGGGTTTCCACGACGGACGCAACATGTATTACAGTGCAACGTGACTTCAAAAAGCAAAAATATAACTTGTCCTGGACCCCTAAGTTGATGGTGTCCAGCTTGGGCAAATCCCACCCTCTCCTCCACTCTCATCTGAGTGCTGGGGCTGCCACCAGCGCCTTCTGCAGGGCTGGTTGAGAGAACTCACGAGAATGACTTTCCCAGAGGAACCCGTCAGAAACCATGATAGAAACTGTCGCTGTGGTTATTCCAGCACTCACAGCCCAGGCGAGCCCCAGAGGGACTTTCGGTGCCAGTGGGGAGGCCCTTAGGGGTAGGCAGTGCAGGGGCAGAACCCCCAGGCCTGGAGGGCCATGGTGAGGTGCTGGGACTTTTCTGAGTCACTGGAGCTGAAGGGTTTGAAAGGATCCTTCTGGCTGCTTGGTGGAGGATGGATTCGAAATGGCTAGAGAGCACCAGGGAGAGGCCAGATGGAAAGTTCTGACAACAGTTCAGGTGAGATCATGGTGGTTTTGAGATGCGGGTGGCAGTGGGATGGCGAGAAAGCACGACTGCGTCTGTGAGGGTGCTAAATCCACGATTTGGTAATAGCGGGTAAGGCGTTAAAGGTGATGCTGAGTTCCTGAGCAACTGGAAGGACAGTGGTACCATCTATGGGGAAAGAACCTTGTACCAGGTGTGGGTGGCAGGAGCCAGGATGAACTTCGGGTGCCTGTAAGTCACGTGGGCGTGCCGGTCTTTCAGGAAGCAGGTTCCATGGCCTGGAGCTCCGGAGAGCCCTGTGCTCGGGAACCGTGGGCCTTGACCCACAGCACATGGCTAGTAATGAAAGCCAAGGACGGTGGTGAGTGACGAGACTAGGCCAGAGCCTGAGAAACTGCCACAGCTTAAGGGAAGGGGACCAGGAGAGGAGGCTGCAGCCAAGGAAGCAGAGGGGGAATGTGGTGACCAAGTAGGAAGACACCAGGACAGCGTGGCTGGACAAGCCAGCAGCAGCAGCTGTTCCAGGGCAGGAGCAAGGGCGCGGAATGGGCTGACGATGGAGCTCCACCCTGGGGGCTCTGAGCTGGGTCCCCTGTGGGAAACGCTCCTCCACACACGGTCAATGGGTTTGTCCCAGTTTCAGGGCTCAGCTCAAATGTCATTCTCACAACCTGTTTGGGTTGACGAGATTTCAAAACAGCCCTGTGTGTGGAAGGAAACAGGCACGAGTTGTGTCTTCCTGCCAAGTAACTGGAGTCCAGGACTTAACTGCCGTGAGCAGAGGTGGCCTGTATGGATGTGGGTGAGAGAGGTCCTGGGCCTCTGGCTGGGGTAGTTACTGGCACAGCCAGGTGAGAGGGAATGAAACATCAGGGAGATGCCGGGCTCTGCTGGGGCCTTATCAAACTTAGGGTTCCTGTGGGATTGGGGTGGAGTTCCTATGAGGAGCCGGGGAGACCAGCTGGGTAGCTGAAGGCAGTACCCACAAGGCAGCAGGCACTGTGCCAGGGCTTTGTGTAGTTGTTCCTTGAATCCCAGCATCCTTAAGAGGGGGCTGCTCCTTGAGATGCAGGAGAGGAGAGCAACTGATATTACATTTGTTTCAAATTATATGTAATTAAACAGAAGTAGATATTTGAGTATTTCATCTGCAAAGGTAAAAGCTCACCATCTATTTGGCAAAAAAAAAAAACAAAAAAAAACCTTGAAATTTCCTTATTGGAAAACAATTTATTATATTCCAGCAAGTACAGCATCGACTAAGCACCTACTGTGTGTCAGCACAGTGCCAGGCACTGGGCATTCACACATTACTTGGATATAATTACAAACTGATAAAGGATTAAGAAAGAATAAATACCTCCTGCTTCATAAACTAGAAGCCAGAAAATTACTCTTGCGTTATTGTACAAAATCAGGTTCAGAAAGGGAAAATACTTGCCAGACATCTCATGGCCGTGGCAGAGGGCAGAACTTAACCAAGCCCGTGACCTTAGATCTCAATGTCTGGGGGCTGCCCACAGCCGTCTGGACAGAGCCCAAGCGGTCTGTGGAGGACGGTCCCTTCTCACCCAAACTCCCAACGGTGAGAAGCGGGGGTGCTGTTCATTTTCCAAGAGGGCAGGCCCAGCGAGGCCCAGCCGGGGAAATGCCAGAGCTGAGATCAGAGACAGATGGGGCTCACACATGACAGACGAGAACTTCCCCTTGGAAAGACCCTTCTGGAGGTGCCGGGGTCCATACCATGGCCAATGGTGAGTAATGAAAACAAGCACTGCAGCTTACCGGTTGGATAAATTATGAAATTTATTTATATTTCACCTTTAAAAGCCAGAACATAACAAATTTCACTTTCTGGAAAGTCATCTTATTAGAAATACATGAAGTGCACTTAATACAAGGAAATCAGTTCTTGGTACCACCCATGAGCCTGGCATGTTCTCATCAGTTCCCTCCAATGCAGGTTTTGTCAAATTTCCCTCTCAACTTGGACTGAGATGAGGGAGGTCTGAGTGAACTTTTTCTAGAAGTTACAGTGAAGAAGCTGACCTTAACCTTTTGGGCCCTCCCAAGCAAAAGCACATTAGAAAAAATTACATTGCCCCCGAAGGGCCTCAACTTTGCTGGTCACCAGGCCTCTGCAGCTCTCACTGGCAGGTGTGAAGAGGCCCCAGCAGCAGCGCACAGGCCCAAAATCCTCTGTCACTTCCAACCTCAGTCACTGACCAGCTGCTCAATTTCCATATTCAGACTAGATACCTGACACGAACAAACAACCGAAACCCAGATGCCTTCCAGCTGCTCAGATGTTCTGCTTCCACAGATAGTCTGGTAGCGCCCAGCAATGCATTAATATTTGTGAAGAAACAGTGAACATCAAGCTTTTTGAGCTGATACCAAAATAAGTTTCTAAGAGACAGTTTCCATTAACAACGGCCACCAGGGCCACGCTGGGCCTTTTGAACAGTGTGTCCTGTCAGAGAAAGCAGGCTGCGGCGCCGGGCTTCCCACAGCCTCTCGGCTTTGGAAGGCTGGTTCTCACACACCTATTCTGCAGAAGCCAGTTTCATAAGGAAACCATTTGTGATAGAAAAACAATGCTCAGTTTAAGCTAAGTCACCAAGTAAAAGACAAAAGAACTAGTATCCACTGGAGCCCCAGGTCTCCCTTCTCACTCCTCTGAGGGCTCCTTTCCGTGCTTCAAGGGCAAGAACGTAAGCAGGCTCTCACACAGAGAAGGAAACGTGACTTTATGAATTTGAGAGCCAAAACCAAAAGGCTATGCCCCCCATCCCCCATCCCCTTAGCTGACTCTCCTCCCCACTGACGGATAAATGGAATTTCACTTTCCTAACCTAGAAAACATTATTTTTTACTAAAAATATATGGTTACACCTTATCCTAAAAAGGCACCATGCAGGCATTAAGACTGAACCAGTTAACTCTAAGGGTGAGCAGGAGTAGTAGCAAAATACCAACTAAAACTTTCAGCCTTCGACCTTGTTAAACCCAGGACACTCACCCATTAGGACTTGAAATGTGTCAGGATGGCAACTCCAGCTTCTGGCAGCTGCTGTCAGGGCTCCCTAACAGGAACTTTCACTTAATCACTGAGCAGATGCGCTATCGCTGGATCTCTACAACTCAGGGACAGAAGAGACGCTTGTCTCATTTGTGCTATTCATGACCCAGAAAAGGTCCTGGCTGGCTCAGAGGACCTGAGAGATGAACACTGGATGGGAGGAACAAGTCTGAAACAAGGACAAGTGGGGAAACTGGCATCTCTTCCAGAAGAGGTGGCAGAAGCTTCTGGAAGTAGCTGAGGAGCAATGATAAGACTAGACCAGGAGGCAGACAAGATTAACGGTAGGGGAAAGAGCCCAAAGGAAGGGAGGGCTCTGACCTAGAATCTGTTTCCCTGTGGGAAGTGGCCTTGTCCCAATAACCACGGCTCACTTCCAGGTCTGGTGTACATTGAAGGTGTGGGAGTCACAGGTTTCACGCTTAACAAGTAATGGAAGCTCTGGAGCACGGGACGGACAGCAGACTCTGCTCACTGGTCGATGATGGAGCGCTGCAATACCTGGTTCATCATGTCCTCCTCATCGACGTCGTAATCCTAACAGCAAAACACAGACACTCAGCCCCAGCAGTGGCGCAGCTGCAAAGCCTCACTTACAGAGGGCAAACAGGGTAGTTGGGCTCTGGGGGGCTGCTGAGGAGCAGTCCAGCGCCCTGGTTTGCGATGCTAGTCACGTAACTTTGGGTGTATTGCTCAATCTCTCCATGTGTCTGCTGACACGTCCTTGCGATAAAAATAACAATGGCTCTTAGTCAGGGACTGTGAGGACCAGGCAACGCACAAATGGAGCTTGACACAAACTCAGAGTGACCACAGTGGAACAAGTGAGGCAGTGACTGACAGGAACCACATTCATCTTTATGGCCTAACTATAACGTGTGAGAAACAAGCCTAGAAGGCTGGCCGGTTCTGTAGTCCCCCACAAAGAAGGCTCTGGCGCTCACCTGGCACACATACACAGGCCACAGAGAGCCTATCGCAGCAGTGACAGGGCTCAGCAACAGGGCCCACCGCTCTCCAGTGAGACGGGAAGGAGCTGTGCTGTCCTCCCAGGGGAGCAATGAGACCCCGGGTCCCAAACTCACCACAAAAGTGTCGTAAGAAAACTGGTGCCGGCGCTGGATGTGCTCTAGGAAGTTGGCGCTGCGGTAGTTGGGGTCTCCCCAGGGCATTGAGGCACAGATCGGACAAACCTTTAAACACAGAAGCAAGGTCTTAGGTACCAGAAGTCTGAGCTGATTGGGCCTCTGGCCTACATCTCACCTGGTCATTCCATGCTGGGAAGAGAAACACTGACCACCTTCCCCATGAGTCAGAGGAGACGTGGGGGTGGGGAAAGGCTCAAGTCACCATACTAACTTTTTCTATCCTTCCCTGTCGTCAAAAACAGTGTCAGTCCAGTGGGGCCTACACCATAATTCTGACCCACCACATAAGATGATCAAGTCAACAACAGCCAGATAAGCAACGTCCCAAGGAAGTAAAACACAGGCTATGTGCTATGTTTACAGAGTAAATGCTTCGAGGAGAACGTCTGGGTTGAAAAGGCCTCCTGCGAGAAGTTGGTTTGGGCTTTGAAGACTGAGAGGTATACAAAACATGAAGGGTGCCCCAGAACTAAGGCAGCTGTCCAGAGACAAGGCCAGGAGGCAGTGCTCCAGGCAGGCAGTTGGTCTGGCTAGTATGGAGAAGTCAGGAGGAGCAGAGAGGAGCTGAGGAAATGGGAGGAAGGGGCACAAATGGTCCAGCTTGGGGATGGGACTAAGGAGAAGACATGGTGATAGATAAAGGGGGTTGCAAGAGACGAATCTGAGGCAATGGAGGATTCCCTGAGCGGAAAACTAGGCAGGCAGCTGGAGCTGCGGGGTTCGTGTGGGAAGTGGAGTTCGGGTCAGGACTAGAGACTGAGAAGGAGGCAACTTCCAAAAGGGCGGGCTAGAATAATCAGAATTCAGGAGTTCTGAGAAGAAGAGGAATGAGAATAGAGGGTCAGGGGCTGAAAAGAAAAGGCTTTGCTGCAGAACAAATAATCAGAAGGATTTCAGGAAGCTGAAGGGGATGGGAAGCAGTGGGAGAGAAAATTAGGTCATAGAACCAGAAGCCACAGGTGCTTTCGTGGGCTCTAGCACCATGATGAGTGCACCTGACATTTCCTCCAATCAATTCACCTCTAAGGCTTTATTTGATAGACATACACAAAGATGTTAACATGTACGGCAGTCTTTTAAAGTTTATTATGAGAAACTTCAAAACTACAGAAAAGCAGGTAAACCATCCCTTATCCCCAAAACCTAGACTTAGGATCAACATATTTATTTTACCAAAAATAAAGCACTTTAAAATAAGACACAACTTACTGTTATAATCCTAAAAACGGATTATTTCTCATTACAAATGCAGTCTCATTATCAATCAACAATGATTTTTTAAAAGCATGGAACATCCAGTCCTTAAATTTCTTGACACTGGCTGGGACTAGCCTTGATGTCTACCATTAAGGAACCAGTTAAATCATGGTCCAGACAGGTAATGGTAAACTGGCGTCTTTCATTTAGAAACAGTAGCAGATCAACACATACTGATATGGAATGTGCCCAAAACACTGATTACAGTGCACAGAATATGGTGTCATTGCGTAAAAAAGGGGACATACAGGAACCTCAGAAGGACATTTTGACCACACGATTTTGTGTCTCTCCGCACATGCAGCCCAGATGCCAACGAGCATGAACCAAGGCATGGCTGGTGTTGTGGAGAGACAGTTGGCTCAGGAGGCAGGACACCCACATTCCAGTCCTGGTGCTGCCACTAAGCGAAGGTTCACTTAAATTGACGGCGCTCTGGCCTCTTACCTTATTTACTTCTAAAAACGAGTGCAGAGGAGATGGTGGTAGGAAATGAACTACAGTAGCTATCATTTTACTGACTACCCAACTACAATTTTCCTAAGTGCCGAAAGAGTGCTTATTCGGCTAACTTTAAAATGGAACAATGGGGAGTGGGGGCTGGCGGGTGGTGTCTGTGTCTGTTTCTACTTCTTTTTCATTTACACGAAAGAGTAAGTTACTAAGAGCCATAAAACATCTTGGAGGATCTGAAGACTTGGCTTTGGGTCTTTTTCATAGGACACCTCTCTTATCTTGCATAAATGTGTACTGTGCAGCTATTCTGGAATCACAGAAAAAGCAAAATGCAATCCCTGTTCCAGATTGCATCTGCAATGGAAATTTCAACAGTCACCAAGGTGACAGACACAGGGTCTGGGTCAAGCGTGCAATGGATAATCATCATGCATATGACTATGGATCAGGAGACAGAGCTAATAGAAAGATAAAGCCAATTTTTGAGTGAAAATAATCAGTTATTTGTGAAAGTTCAAAAAAGTCTGGGAGGCCGCCATAGTGTAGTGTTTTGTTTTGTTTCAGCAAAAGAAAAAAAAATTACTCTAACCAACAGGGTAGAGGCGAAGGTCCAGTTACCAAATGATGGTGCCAAATGGAGTTGCAGCTCTAGGGGCCCCCTGCCCTGTGTGTGTGGGGGGCAGGGAGGTGAGGAGGGAGGCTCCAAGGCCAGCCTGCCACATGGCTGTGGGGCAGCTGCATGACAGAGCAGCTCTGACGGGAAAGAGTGTAGTGTGTTATTTTATATTGGGGTTATTTCTATTATACTAAAGTAGCAAGTGGTAACTGCATTTATCATATTTGAACACAGTATCATTGCAAGAATTATCACAAAATACTGGGAACAGGTGGTATAGAAGGGAACCAGGGGATGGGGCAGAAGAGACACTTTTTACCATCCAATTTTTTTTTTTTTTTTTAAAGATTTATTTATTTATTTATACAAGCACTGGGTACAGTCAGAAGCGCGGGAGGGTGAGAGAATTCACCAGAGCCAGAGCGGGGAGCAGAGCAGGCAGAAGGACCGAGGTACACTGCTGAGGGGAGCAGCGGGCGGCAGGAGAGGTCTGCGCGCCATGTGGGACCCTCCTCCTGTGGCCGGGGAGCAGCCAGGGATCGAACCGGTGCCGCAGAGGCCGCGGGCAGCTTCGCAACCCAGCGCTCAACCGCTGCGCCACCGGGGAGGCCCTACCATCCAATTTTTACACAACTGTTTCATGCCACATACAAAGAAATAAATTTTAAAAATTGAAGGTGAAAGAAAACAAGAATCCCAAGAAGACCCGTCAGGAAGCAGAGGGACTGTGATGTCAGAGGAGTGCAAAACCAGACTCTGGATGGGAACAAGGAGAAGGTAGAGAAAAGACAGCAGAGCTGAACAAGCACAAGCTTGAGGGAAAAGAGCAGCTGAATGCTATCTACAGAAAGTACTGGATCAAATATTCCTCCCAATTAAGACAGGGAAGACCTGGGCAAGCCTGAGGAAAACGAAGGTAAGGAGCAGAGAAAGAAAATTTGAAGGAAGAGAAGACACACAATGGGCAAAGCCTCAGGAGCAGGGAGGTGGTCTGAGTGTCAGCCGAGCTGTGATCTTGGACCTCTGCCTAGATCTGAGAACGTAGGTAATTAAAGCGTTAGCCTGGGAATGGAGATCTGGGGAGAGTCTACCTCAGCACAAGGTGGGGAAAGGAACAAGGGCTGCACATTCAAGTGTTCACGGCAACCAGGCTGGCAAAGCAAACAAGTGAAGCAGGATGGGTGTAAGCTCACCCCATCGAGAAAGGACAGTGACTCCGCAAAGCCAGCAGACTTGCCAAAAATTCCAATTTCTCAAATGTAGGTTATAGATTGAGAAATCTGACTTTTAAAGGGTAGGAAATGAACACGTGGGGGTCAGACCATATCCCATAGGTTGCGAGTCTGTGATCTCAGAGGTAGATCAGAGAACTCCTCACACAGATAGGAGAGAGAAGAAAGGACACATACCTGACACTTTGAACTTAGCTTTTAAGGCAAAGGTTCAGTATTATCTGTGTTCAGTATTACCTACGTTCTCAGATCTAGGCAGAGGATCAAGACCATAGCCTGGCTGACACTCAAACCAGGAGTTTAGTAGAGAGCCCAGAACAGCACTAGAGGGGCTTACTGAGTATCAAGAGGGTCTGGCTGAAAATGAGGTACACAATGAACCACCTCAGTTCCCTAGTTTGGAGAGTTGAGAAAAGCAACCAGAGAGGGAATCCATCGGTGGAATCTGTCACAGCACAACATTCAGAGCCCAGGGAGTCCAGTGTAAAAACTGGCTGTCCTAACCAGAACTTGTACTTGGCAAATCAAGAGAAGACACGGTAGGTATTCTTGAATTGATCAGCTGTATCTTAAAATTTGGGGCAGAGAGAGAAAGAATGCCACTAGGCCCCATAATACCATTAGCAATGACACTGGTGCTACACTTCTGAAAACCTGTGCAAATCCTAAAGCCTGTTCACCTTTTAAAGCAATGAAGCTGAAGACCACCCATAAAACCAGGCACAGAGTTCAAGAGAAGTTGTCGGAGACAAATGGGAAGACAGAAACAATGCTACAGAGAAAGTTGTATTAAGCCCTAGTCTGTTGGGCCTCCCTGGTGGCACAGGCGGTTGAACACCGCACTGTGAAGCTTCCGCAGCCTCTGCAGCGCGGGCTCGATTTGGCAAGAATCCCACATGGTGCAGCGGACCTCTCCTGTCTCGCCCTCTGATCCCCTCAGAGGTGTGTTTCGTCAGTCTGCCTGTTCTGTTCCCTGCTCTGTCTCTGGTGAGTCTTCTTACCCTCCCATGCATCTGTACCCCAGTTCTTGTATAAAATAAATCTTTTTTTTAAAGATTTATTTATTTATTTATTTATTTATTTATACAAGCACTGGGTACAGTCAGAAGCGCGGGAGGGTGAGAGAATTCGCCAGAGCGGGGAACAGAATAGGCAGAAGAACCTAAGTACACTGCTGAGGGGAGCAGCGGGCGGCAGGAGAGGTCTGCGTGCCATGCGGGAACCTCCTCCAATGGCCGGGGAGCAGCCGGAGATTGAACAGGTGCTGCAGAGGCTGCGGGCAGCTTCGCAACCCAGCGCTCAACCGCTGCACCACCGGGGAGGCCCAAAATAAATAAATCTTAAAAAAGAAAAAGACCTAGTTTGTCAATAACCGAAAAGGGTAGCACTGCTGAGACAGACCAAATCCACACTTAAAAGTTTGTAGGTGAATGATACTTAAATATTAAAGGACTGACAGCACTTCCTAAAAATTTCATCTAAACTCTCTTTCCCCACAGGTATCAAGCAGCCACTCCCAAAAAGAAAACAGCAGGTTGATGGAGAACAAACCTGGTGGGCACCCAGGGACCCCAGTCAATGTTACCAACAATAGGGACCACAGACATCAAACGACGCCTCCTATGGCAGAGAGAGGACATGTATGTGGCTTAGAGTATCTGGGATCTAGTCATGTGTAACAGACAAATGCAACTGAGGACAATCTACGAAACTGGCCTGTCCGCTTTAAAAACGTCAAAGTCATGAAAGACAAAGAAAGGCTAAGAGCAAAAGAGACATGACAACTAAACGTGACACACAGATGCAGGATGGGGCTCTGGGGGAAGAGAGCCAGGAAGGACATCACAACTGTTAAAATTTAAACTTGGATTTCACATTAGATATTAGGTTGTATCCATGTTACATTTCCCCAGTGTGATAAGTGCTGAAGTATTTAGGGACAGTGGGCCATGATATCTGTAACTTATTTTCAAATAGCTCAGCAAAAAATACGTATCATAGAGTAGGGTAAAGTTTGTAAAATGTTAGTCAATCCGGGTAAAAGGTACACAGGAATTCACTGTACTAATGATGTAATTTTTCTGTATGTTTGACTCTTTCCCATAATGAAAAGTAAAAAAAAAAAGGCGTCCTTACCACAGACTTGGTATCTGCACTGTGAGACAACTTGCAGTGCTCCACAAGTCCTTCTTGATCAAAGTTCTTCTCAGGACAGTATGGACAAGGAAAGGTGTAACGGTTTGGGACATTTCTGGAAGATGAAAGGTAGGCGGAAAACCTGTGACTGGCGTTCTGATATCTTCAGAACCAGGTCATGCATTTTGAAAACAACAACACAGTTAATATCTGAAGCAAACATCAGAAAATTGTTCTCCATATACCTCACCCCAGGCCTGCCCCAAGCAAAAACAATCAGCTTCAGCCAACATTTTACACCTTCACTTTCCAAAATCATGCAACTAAGACCCTGTAAGCAACAGCTGACCCCCCACCTAAGGGAGTCATTTACCTTGGCTGAAGGGATGCATCTTTGGTGGTGGCCTTCACACCCTCCATGATGTAATTCTGATATTTGGAACAGGCAGCCACATGGGCCCGAATCTTGGAGAGGAAGAACTTGGAGAAGAAGAATCAGAGCCCACAAGTTAGTAAGGATCTTGGGCCAGATCCAACCTAGTCCAAAGCCAGGGCTAGGTGAACACTGCACCCGCACGGCCCTAGCAACCAATCGCACCAGAGTCCTGGCTGTGCCGATGGGGTTCAAACCCTGACTACTTATTGCAGGGTTTCTGTTAATAACCAACACTGATGTTTTTTAGTCAGGACATCTGCTTCTACTCCGTAGTAATTCCCCTAGAAGTTTGCTTTATTCATGATATGCTCTCTGCTCATGGACACTCCAAATTCAAGGAAGCTTAAAAGTTTCCCACACTAGCATTTAAACTAATTTCTTTACTGCCAGTCAGCTCATTCTGTGCAGCAAAGGGCTCACTCACATAAAATGGGTAAAGACTAGTAACCCTAGTTAAATAGTAATCCCCAGGTTATGATAAATGATCTTTTGAAAAAACCCAAAACCTGAATTCTATTTCACTTATAGGATCTAGTCTTTGCAAGATGTAAAGAGACAAGAGAACCCAGAGGAGAGTGCTTCACCGCGGGTATTCTAAAAAGAAAGTATAAAGAATGAAGAAGGCAAGTACGGGGAAGAAACACATATCTGGAGGTATAATACACCTGGAAGTATAACACAAAAATCATTACTCTTAAAAATGGAGAAAATCAAAATACAGGGAAAAAAAAAAAGACCACATTGCTCATGCTTGAAGAAAGATGTAAGAGGAAATTTTACTTCAATATCACCAGTTTCTAAATCAAAGGAAACTGCAAGGAAAAGAAAAAAAAAAAAAAATCCCGTATTTGAGCTCCAGCTTACCATGGTGCTTCTGTCTGTCTTACTTCCAGTTAAAGAACATGTTGACTTTCAGCTGCCAACTGAAGCGCTCCCATTGAAAAGGAAGGGAAATTAGGACTTGGCGCCACAGCGTGCCCTGGTGCTAACTCATCCTGAAGGAGATGTCAGAGGATGTGTCCTCCTCCGGCTACCCCAACCACCATGTTCAAACCCTAGCGTTGACATGCAAGGCTGTCCAGAGCCATTAAGGGAAAAAAAGGTGTAGAAACAATATCATGTTATAATCTTAGATCTTACTGTGTAGAAGTCCTACATCTAGTTTGTCAAAGGGTGCAAAATATCTTGCAGCCTTCTAAATTAAGCCAATCTCTGAAGTGAGGGTTAGGGAAGAAGCCTGGAATTAACAAAACATGAGTTTAAAACCAGTAAGGCTGGATATATGTTTTAGAAAATACAACAACAGCACTTCTCCTTTGCAGCAGCAATTATAAGAGATGTTAAATATACCTTACGCTGATAGGATTATATGAAAAAAAAAAATAAGGATGCACTTCAAATATTAGCTCTTACTCTTGAAATCAAAAGATTTCACACTGACCTTTATATATATCTCATGAATCCTCTTGTCAAACACTAAAATGTAGAACCATTTAATTTTATATCTGTAATGATATAAACTATAAAATTTCCCTTCAAGCTCACTGGAGCAGGTAACTGAGTCACTGACTTCATTTTATGTTTAAAAAAATTAGGAAATACCATTTTGTCATTATGTTCTAATTAAAATTGTGCATGATGTTTTAGAAAAATGGGTCTTTTATAGGGAAAAAACTGGGATAACCAATCTCTATGGCTTTCAAAGCTAAAATGCATAATCTCTTAAAAAAAAAAAAAAAAAAAAAAGCCACAGCAGTGAGATCACCAGGATGAAACAGCCCGGCCACACCATAGATGTGCATGCACGCGTGCCGCCAGCCACCAGTCATGCTCTAGTTTCAGAAACATGGCAGCATCTCTAGGTCCAGCCCCACCATATCACAGAAAGACATGGACTCTTCCATTTTACTTCACATACATTTTTACGGCAGCCATGGCAAGAAGTTTCTGTGCTCTCAATCTGCCGCTCGAGCTCCACAGCTCGGACGCCAGGTGCCAGAGCGCTGCGACACACCCCACAGACAGGCTTCTTCGGCTTCAGACATTCCTGCAGGCATGCAGAGCAAAAGCTAGAACAAGACATACAGAGAACCTGCGTCATGCATTGTGGAGACAAGACAACAAAAATGAGTAAACTTTAAAAGGGTATCAATGTATAATGAATTAAAAATAACTTATTCTCTACTTCAAATGCTGGGTCCTCCTAAGCCAGAGAAATGGGATCAGGCAGGGAGGCGGCTGCAGAGAACACACAGGCAACAGAAACAAAGGCAAACCACCACGATATACGGTGAACAGCGTTAGAATGCACTAAGGGGTCTTGGTGGGGTTTCCTGAATCTCAGTTTCTCCTCCTGAAGTGGAGAGAGCAGCACCTACATCTCCAGAATTGACGGCAGGATGGCATGTCTAACCTTAGTACAGTGTCTAGAAGGCATGAAATGCACCACAAATGGGAGCTGCGATCATGTGAGATGTATGCAAAGTACTATGGGAAGGCAAAACAGCAACAACTGACCGTGCCTGGGAAGGACAGGGTGGTAACACTTCAGAGGCAGCGCCTTAAAAAGAGTTTAGTTGGCAGAGGGAAGAAAGAATATTCCAGGCCTTTAGACTTAAAAATTCATGCTGCATCTGAGGAAATAAAAGTCTAAGACTTATCCTTATAAGCAGCAGGGAGCCAGATCGAAGTCCAAGTTTTAGAAAAACAACTCTGGGACTATCATGGACAACAGGGTTATTGGCTTAAAAAATTTTTTTAGGGGAGGAAAGATGAGAAGAGACTGAAGTAGAAACAAAACAGATGAATAAAGGCAAGGAACCGTGAGGGCCTAAGGCTACAGAGAATTAATTCAGGAAATGATTCAGAGGCAGATCAACAGGACTTAGTAACTCACTGAAATAGAAAAGAAGCAAAGTCAAAGACCCAAGTTTCTACCTTGAAGCCTAGGCAGGCTGCCGTGCTGAGATAAGGCACTCTGGAAAAAATGGATAGATAATAAGGCAAGAAAATACCCAATCTGACAGACTGAAGACAGGATAACACCTACCAGGAAGAGCTCAGGATGTATAATCAAAGATAATCTGTGCACTTGAGAATTTTTTACTGTCTCTAAGAATTTTCTTCCTCTTTGTCATTAAGCTAGATGTTAATGCTGCTACGTAATTCTAGACCAGGCTGGGAGAAGATAAGGGGGCCTACTGATTCACCACTGAGGGCACAGTGGTGAGCTACACAAAGTCCTTGTCCTCATGATGCTTATATTTCACATGGAGAACAACACAGATGTTAATTTCAGATCGTGATTAAATGAAGAAATAAATGATCTCAGGCAGAGACCAGCTGGGGTGAATTACAGAAAACTTCTTTAAGGAGATAACATTTGAGTTAAGACCTAAAATTATGGAGACAGTTCCACACAGAGACAATACCAAATACAAGGGGTGTCTGAGAGGCAGAAAGGAAGGACTCTGGGCTATGATGTATTAGACCTCAGAAGAGTAAGTGATAAGGTCGGAGAGGCTTGTGGCCATCACTCCTGGTACCTCTTCTCAAAGACAGACTGCAAGAGTAACTGGAGAGCAAAATGAAACCGAAACCAGCCGGCAGATAAAGCAGCTCAACACCTGCCTTCAAGCACACACAGAGAGTTTACAGCTCACATTCAAAAGTTCACCAGTCACCTCATGCCAGTGTCACACCCAATGAAAGTCATTTCTAAACTGTCCCTACATCTTGGGCTGATTTTCAGATTCGATTTCCTACTTAACAGATTTTTTCCGAGTTCTGCCTTTCAGAGCTCCACCCTTTCTGTCAGAGCACTGTGAGGAAAGTCCCTCCTTGAGCACCCCACCATCTGCTTTTCTCTGGCTATATTTCACTGGACTAGGGAAGGATGTAGTCATTCAGGGTTTGAAATAAAATCTTATAAAAATCCAATGCCCCAGCCAGAAAGCAGTGATGCTCAAGTGTCCAAGCACACAAGTTTGCAAATTTCAACTGGCCAGAGTGAAAAAGCATTTGGCTGGAGCAATGGGAGATTTGTTTGCAGCCCTCAGAGAAGGGCATCTCTCAGTGTTGAACTGATGAACATGAAGAACGGATGTGGTAAGTATAGAAAAGAGACAACATTTGAATCCCAGTAATGCCCCTTGACCTCTGACCTAAGAAAGGTTCCTACGGCTCAAGGAAACCTCAAAACTATGCTGGGTGAAGTCACTTTATAAATGTTAACTGTAAGTAAAATCCACTGACTTAATCCAAAATTAGGTTAACGAAATGAGGCTGATCCAAGAAGAGGACTGAGAGAGCTACCCAGACTTCAACTCTCACAGTCTGCTTGCACCACTAATTTCTTAGTTCATTCATCCATTACCTGATCACTTCCCCACTAACACACACCAGGTTTGATACTTGTAATACACTCCCACTACACAATGAATTTCTGTGGTCACTGGAACATTTGTTAGTACTTATTCATCATCAATTTACTGGACTGTGAACTCCAAAGGCAGAATCCTCTTATTTCCTTCCATGCCACATGAGTATGGCATAGTGGACATACTAATACTTTAGTCAGTTAACTGTAAGACTGGAAATTAGATGCTCACACTGAGCTGGCCACTGCGGATACAGAGAGCAGCAAAACAGATAAGGTCACTGCCCTTAATGCCCCTAAATTTGCTCTGAGCAAGAAAGGAAAGGGAAGCCCCAGGAGAGAAGTGGAGGTGTGATGGGAATGGTGACCAGAAAGGTAAATCAAACTGGGAGTTCAAGGATGAAAAGGATTTGGGATAGTGGGTGAAGGGCAGGAAGAGCTCCAGGCTAACTGAACTTGCCAGCAGGAAGAGCCAGAAGCTAGGAAGAGCTCAGAACTCAAGGTAAAAAGCAGTCCCTGCCGCTGGGGAGCCCTGGCCAGGTGCCAACTGTTCCTTGGGCTGGCAAATGGACACCTGAAATTCATCTGGGAAGAGGTGGCCCATGGTGAGCCTTCCCTAACTAAGCTCAGTCCTCATCACCTGTCCCTCCCCAGGGCTGTCAACCCTCTGGCCCTGCAGAAAAAAGAATGCCTGGGCGGCCCAGCAAGTGCCTAGGGTGCCTACGGATCAGTACAGAGGTCCTAAGACTAATGCCAAGGTGGTGTCTACATTAAGCACTGAGGAAGAAGGCCATGGAAGAAATACCAGCTCCCGGGGCAAGAAGCAGGTGACCACCTTTTCTACAATTCCTCGACTTAGGGGGTGCGGGTCTTCTGGCACAAAGCTTAGGTTCAAGTCCAGCCAACCTCAAGGCACCTACCACAGCCCAGAACCTGTCCGGGGGCACATATTTCCTGGGGTCGTCACAGCCAGTCTATTAGCAACAGGGGGGCTTAATTTTAAAGAGAATGAGACAAACTGCGCGTACAAGCGGGAATGCTAACAATCTCTGCCTTTCCTGCCCCCTTTCACCGCGAAGGGCCGACTGGCCAGATCTCTATCTCGACATGGACTTCCCTTTTGTTCTGTCAGCCTAGCTCAGCTTCCTCCAACTTTAGTGCATATCAGAATGTTGGAAGCGGGGCTGGGCACACGACGCCCCAATTCGACATACTCGAGAGATGAAGCCCAGCCCACTCAGGGAAACCGCGGCTCTTCAAGGGCGGACTTCGGAGCCTACCTGGCTGCCAGCGGGATGCGACACCGCCACCGCGAGTGAGGAGCCTACGAACCGCCGGGATACAGTCGGCGCTCCAGAGAAGAGCGTCCGGGCAGCCTCCACGGGCCTCCCGGGGTCCCCAAGGGCCTCACGGAGAGGCCCTCGGCCCCCCCCCGCGAAACCCCCCTCAGCCGGGCCTCGCTCCCGGGCTTCCCCGCCCGCCCAGTCAGGCGCCCCCCGGCCAGGCCCCGGCGCGTCGCTTACACGTGTCCGCAGGGCACCTGCACCGGCTTCTCATACACCTCTAAGCACACGGGGCAAGTGAAGCGGCCCAGCGGGTCGGCCTCCGCCGCGGGCCCCGCCGGCTGCACAGCGCTCTCGCGGTCCTGCTGTTGCGCCGCCATCTTGCTGCCGCGGACGCAGCGCAACGGCGGCCGAGAAGGAGGAGCCCTTGGGGGCGGGGCCGAAGAGGCGAACGACGCGCGCGAGGGGCGGGGCTTACTCCAGGCGCCCCTGGGAGGGGCGGGGCTTGCCTTGGGAGCCCCCTGGGAGGGGCGGGGCTTGCTTCGGGAGCCCCCTGGAGGGGCGGGGCTAGCGAGCGGGCCACGCCCCCTTGCCTTTCCAACGGGAGGGAGAGAGGAAGAGGCCGAGGAAATCTGGAAAATGCGGAAACCAGATTCAGGGACTGACAGAATGGAGCCGGGCTTTGTGCTTAGGCCTCTGTTTCCTAACCTAAAACCGTTTATTACTTAATATTTGTTTATGCATTATTGGTTACTATTTCTCTTCAAATCGAGTTGCCTTTTCTTTAAACTTAAGCAAACAAATTTTATTTATTATATTTTTTAAAGATTTATTTTATTTATTTATGCATACAAGAACTGGGGTGTAGGCCAGAGGTGCAGAGGGTGAGAGGATTCAGCAGAGACAGAGTGGGGAGCAGAACAGGCAGAGCTACCAAAATCCACTGCTGTGGGGGGCAGCGGGCGAGACAGGAGAGGTCTGCTGTGCCTTGTGGGTCAGCTCCTGGCTGGGGATGGAACTCATGCCTCAGTGGCTGGAGATAGCTTCATAGTGCTGGGACTTTAACCCCTGAGTCACCAGGAAAGCCCAGCAAACAAATTTTGAAGAGAAATCTGAGCTGTAAATAAAGATCCCATCATTTCTACCAGGGCACTGTAAAACATGTGGAGAGAAAATAATATTATTCATTCATTCTGGCTAATGTCTATGCTGGAAAGGAAGATTCACTGTTACTAGAGATGTCAGAGGCGGGCTATCTGCCCACGGAGACTGTCCAGGGAAAGCAGAAGTAAGGTGACACTGTCTCCCTCAGTGAGTCAACATTCTTTAAATTGTGTCCACATGACTTTGGGCGGTGGGCTCCAGCCTTGGCTTGGTAGAGAGACTCAATGCAAGGCGGGGACTACATGTTCAGAACCCCAATTTTCTCCCTTTCTACTGCACCAACTGGGCTCTTGCATACAGCTCACTTAACAAAGGATACTCTTTGTAAAAGATATATTCTACTGAAGTTCTTGGGTTTTTTTTAACGAGGAAAGTCAATGATTAATTAAACCTCACCCTTTATGAGGTCATAAAGGCCCCAGAGTAAGGAGTCTAGGGGAGATAAAGTGTGTTTGTTAAGTCAGGTTAATTGATGCAAATTTACTCCTCCCTGGTGCCATTTCCCAGGCTAGGTTGATTTTGCTGGTGGCAGAAGGATTATTGTTAGCCATTGATGTGGGCATCTTTCTGCCAACAAGTGACTGGGCTTGTGAGTAGCAGCCCAAGAGAGCAGATGCTTACACTTCATGGTTACTTTTCCCTGTTCCTACCCAGGCACCTGTGCCTTCCTTTGGGGATCTGGAAATTAACTTTCCACAAAGTTAATACGCTTAGTCACAGAAAGCAGAAGAGAGGGTTGAAATCATATTAATAGTGAGCTTGTTGTCCTTCTTAGTCTAAGCACTTTACATGAATAAATCCTCACCGGAACATGTGACTTAGGTTCTATTATTATTCCCACATGACAGCTCTGTAAATTGAAGCACAGAGGGATTAAATTCCCTTTAAACAAAGACGGAAAATGAGAGTCAGGATTCGAACACATGGAGTGAGGCTTTGGCCCCTGTGCACTTTAAGAGCTTCAGTCATTTGTAAAGTCTACCATGTATTAGCTTCACCAGGCGGCAGTGGGACTTACAGGCTTGTGATTGCTGCCCTACCTCCATTTCTGATTTAGGAGGTCAGTAGTAGGTATGGGGTGTGGTTGGAGAGTTTACACTTGGACTAGTTTTCCAGGTGATGTTGATACTGCTGGATGGGGACCTTACTTGGAGAACCACCAGTCTTTGCTCTGCCCCTCTTTCCTCTTCCCATTCAATGCTGAGACTAGATTGAGTGTGTTCCATCATTTTCTCTAAGCATTCTCAATGAAAATGCCCCCTTCTCAGTTTGCAAATATATTACTAGCTCTCCCATACTCATACTTTTGTTTTTCAACAACAGTCAACCTAATACAGTGTGTCAGATTGTGAAACTTTTCCTTCCCATTTCCCCTTAATGTCCTTGAGGAAACTATTTCCCAAATAGTCGCTTCCTTTCCTTTAGATGGCCTACATCATCCAAAATGTTCTTGTAGTGGGCAGGGGAGGATTCTGATGTGACCCTGGAGTGGGGACTGTCCTGTGCAAAGCCTTCGATAACTTGATTTTTACTAACAAGTGAGATTCCCCATTCAGGTAAGAGAGTCCCCGTGGGATCACTGTGTGCCAAACAGGGGGCCAGGGATACCCTTTGAGAAAGAGAGACTAGTTCCCAGCCGAGGAAATCACTGCCATGATTATGCTACATAACACAAGCTCCCCTCTTGCTTGTCACTCTCTAGAGTTTCTCTTCCTCCATGGCATCTGTAGGGTAGAGAAAATATCAGGCTTTTCTGCCCTTCCGCCATCAGGATAGATGATGGATCCTTGTCCTGAATGCATGCCTGATGGCGGGCACCTGGAATAGGGTGTGGGCATAGGTAGATGAGATTCAGCTGAGCTAAGACTGTGCTTTTAAGGGCGGCGTCACGGGGGGACGCCAGCAGCACCAGTAGCAGCAGAAGCAGCAGAAGAAGCCGAAGCAGAAGCCGAGAAGCAGCAGAACACGCCAGAGAGTCCAGATAGAGTGAAGACTTGCTGGGGGCTGGGAGGCCTGCCATCCTCCCAGCCCCCCAGCCAGCACCCCTGCCTGCCATATGCCTGGTGAACCCCCAATAAAAAACCTGCAAAACTACTGAGGACTCTGACTCCTCCTTTACCCGGTCTGCATGGGATCAGAAAACCTGCACTGTGCCCAGTCCTGCCCCCTACAGCATCGAAGAAGTTAGCCACATTGGAGTCTCATGCAGTAAAGAGCTGAGGGAGACCAACAGCCAGCAAGAAGCCAGGATCCTCAGTTCTACAACTATAAGGAAACAAATTCTGCCATTGACCTCAGTGAGCTTGGAAGTAGGTTCTTCTCCAGTTGAGCCTCCTGATGAGGCTGTAGCCCAGTCAGCATGTTTACTGAAACCTGGTAAGAACCTGAGAAAAGGAGCCAGATATGCCATGACCTCTCTCCCCAGCCACAGACATCCTGAGATAACCAATCTGTGTTCATTTGTTACACAGCCACAGACACTAATACAGCCTTGTTAGTGAGCAATTTATCAAAGTTGTAAGAGCATATACCCTTTGATTTACCTTGTCTACTTGTAAGACTTTCTCTTATAGACCTGTGCCATTCAGTACTGTGGCTATTTAAACTTTAAAGAATTAAGAAACAAAATTAAAAATTCAATTTCTCAGTCTCACCAGCCATATTTCTAGTCTTAATAGCTACATGTAATTGGAGTTTACGTATTAGACACAGCAGATATCGAACATTTCCATCAATGTGGAAAGTTCTATGGGCAGTGCTGCTATAGACCTACTCATACATGTGGGAAATGTGGAACATATACTTCATATACTTACAATTATAACAAATTAATTCAATAAATATAATTACTGGCAGGTGAACTCAATGAGGACAGGAATTTTTATACATTTTATTTATTTCTGTATCTTTAGTTTCTAACTGCACCTAGTGCTTCTTAGAGAACTTCACAAATATTTGTTAAATGAATATACAGTCGTTAGAGAATGATCTTCAAGATATATTTTTAATTAAAATAACACCAATAGGGCCTCCCTGGGGGTGCAAGGAGTTAAATCTCAGCGCTATCAAGCTATCAGCAACCACTGCAATGCAAGTTCGATCCCCAGCCAGGGAACTGACCCACATGGTGCAGCAGACCTCTCCTGTCTTGCCCGCTGCTCCCCTCAGCACTGTATTTCAGTAGATCTGCCTGTTCTGCTCCCCACTCTGTCTCTGGTGAATCTTCATACAGACACACACACACACACACACACACACACACACACTCACACACACACACACACACCCTGCACCTCTGGCTTACCCCCCCCCCCGCAGCTCTTGTATGCATAAATAAATGAAATAAATCTTAAAAAAAAAAAACCCACCAACATGCTGAGTAGTACAACTAATGTGAGTGCTTGTGTGTGATGAATAGATGTTTCTGGAAGGTAGAGTGATGAGCCATCCTGCCTTGTCTGGGGCTGAGGGTTTCCCAGGATGTTAGTGTGAAAGCTGGGGAAGTCCTGGGAAAACCATGATGAGTTAATCTTTACCTTACCAGTAGGAGTCTGAAGAATCCAGTAATAGTGGCTTTTATCAGGAAGGGAAACTGGGACCCATGATGGGGGCGGGGAGCCTCATTTTGGCACCATTTTACATCCTGACCAGTAATAAACAAGGTTTCCAATTCACCAGATCTTATTTTCCTATACTTGTTTTCATTTTTAAGAACACATTTAAGTATGAAGTTGCACCTCACTGCACTTTTGATTCACATCTCTTTAATGGCTAATGATGCGATGTTGTGTGGTCATTGGTATATCTTTTTTTTTTTTAAAGATTTATTAATTTATTTATATAAGCACTGGGTACAGTCAGAAGCGCAGGAGGGTGAGAAAATTCACCAGAGCTGGAGCGGAGAACAGAACAGGCAGACTGACGAAATTCACTGCTGAGGGGAGAAGCAGGTGTGGCAGGAAAGGTCTGCGTGCCTTGTGGGACCCTCGCCAGCGGTCGGGGATCGAACCGCTGCTGCAGAGGCTGCGGGCAGCCTCGCAGCTCAGTGCTCAACCGCTGCGCCACCAGGGGAGGACCTCATTGGTATATCTTTTTTGGAGCAATTTCTGCTTAAATCCTGTGCCCATTTTACATTGGGTTTGTCTTTTTGTTGTTGAGTTGTTGTAGGAGCTCTAGAAAATTCTTTATTTTGAGCAGCATAAATGCAAGGTGCCCACAATG